TTAAATTCAAATAGATGTAATTTATTTGAAAGGCAATTAAAGTAATGAGAGACCAGAAATCCTCCATGTGTTAGGTCATTCCCTAAATGCCTACAAGAGCTAGGGTTGAGCCAGACCAAATGCAAGGAGCCCCAGTGGTTCCATGTTGGTGACAGAGAATGAAGTGTTTGAGTCCTCACCTAATGCTTTTCAGGGTGCGTGCAGCAAGAAGCTGGTGTGGAGGCAGAAGCCTCGGGAGCCAAGCCAGTTACTTCCAAATGGGATTTCAGTGTCCCAAATGGCAAATTACCTGGCGCTGCAAACACATTGTGTTGCTTCCTCTAATTATTGATTAGAGTCATGTTATTTTGTTAATAACTTTAGGGAGAATTGATATCTTTGCAGTACTGTGTTTGCCAATCTGATAAGTGTTATGTCCCTTTACTTTATCTCCTTGTCTCTGTGTATGTTTATGTTATAGGCATGCTTATCTTATGTTAGTTTTATTCCTACTTATTTCAGCTTATCAAAAAGCAATGTAAAATCAAGTTTACAGGTTTTTTTTTTTAAAGATTCATTTATTTTTATTGGAAAGGCAGATGTACAGAAAAGAGGAGAGAGAAGGGAAAATCTTTTGTCTGCTTGTTCACTCCCCAAAAGGCTGCAATGACCAGAGCTGACCCGATTTGTAGCCAGGAGCTGCCTATGGGTCTCCTGTGCTGGTGCAGGGTCCCAGGGCTTTGGGTGGTCCTCAACTGCTTTCCCAGACGACAGACTGGGAGTTGGATGGGAAGTGGGACCGACACAATTAGAACAGGCTCCCATATGGGTTCCCTGTGCATGAGAGGGAAGGACTTTAACTGCTACACTACTGCACTGGGCCCAAATTTAAATTTTTATATTCTATGTTACTAATATATGAAGCAATTGTAAACAGTTCTCTTAGTTTTTTTCTTCTGTATTTTTTCATGTTAGACAAATACTATTTACCTTATCAGTTGATTCTTTCAATGATTACATTTTTTAAAAGTTTTAACATATATTTTTCATTAGGGCATATTAATAAAGTTTTATGTTAGGAGTTGGTGTTGGGACACAGCTGATTAAAACGTGGCCTATGACCCCAGCATCCATTGTGAGCACCAGATCAAGTTCAGGAGGCTCTGATTCCCTTCCAGCTTCCTGCTACTGCCCCTGAAAAGCAGCAGAAGATGGCCTGAGTACCTGTGCCTTGCCTCTCCTCTAGGAGACCTGGATGGAGTTCTGGGCTCCTGGCTGTGGCCTGCAAACAGCCCCAGTCATTGTGGCCGTTTTGGGCGTGAACAGCAAATGGAAGATCTCTTGATCTCTCTTCCCATCTCCTTCCTTTCTTCCTTCTTTCCTCCTTTCTCTGTCTTCTGTGTACATGTGAAAGACTGCCTTTCAAATATTTGTTAAAAACCAAAATGAAAAGCAAAATACCAATCATTAAAATCAAACAAACCTAGGAAACAACAACAAAAAAATCACTTGTAATTCTTCCACATTCCTGATATCATTCATGAATGTTTGTGATCATCATTCTAGATATTATAAATAGTTTGTAATTTTGGATAACAGATATGTTGCAGTTTCGAAATTAATATTCTCATTTAACAACATACTGTCATTACAGCAAATGTTTACACAGTTAATAGCTAGGTTAATATTATCTGAATGTATTATACTGTTACTATTAAACATAGTTGTTTTTTGCTATTTATACGCATCATTGCTATTATAAATAATAATTATGGATGAAGATCTTATATGCATACTATCTGAATGTGACTTCCTTAAGTGAAATTCTGTATCAATAGGCTTTTAGGTCAAACTATACAGGCTTTTGAAGCTTGTTGCCAACTTGCCTTCTAGAAGTTGTGTGTAAATTCTTGTTCAAAATTTGGACGTTTTCTGTTTCCAAACATTCAATCTAGCTTTCATTGAGCGATTCATACCTTTGGTCTGGGGAGTATTTTCTTTCTTTCTTGTCTGTTTTACATAAAAATCTGTAGTATATTGGTCATTTTAAGCAATTATTTTCTGTTTCCTTAGAGAAAGAAATCACTGCTTTCATGTTGTTGCAGTTCAAAGATGTGAAAATTCCTTCTCCCCAGCTCTGTCCTCCCCTGGTCATCATGAAGGAATGCCATGGCCATTTGCAGCATTTTTTGGAAAGCTTGGATTTGGTCTGCAGTTGTTTTCGAACAAGATTTTTCATTTGTTTCTTAAAGTCAATTGATTCTCCAGCTCTGTTCTTCCCTTAGGCACTCCCTTATCTTACAAATACTGCCCACTAGATACAGACCTTCTATATATATGGTATGTCTTGCTGACCTGAACATAGGATAGATGTCTGTAGATTTGAAATATGATAAATTAATGAAATATTGTCTTAGTTTGTTAATCTGTGTTGCTGCTATTTCAGTGAGTGAGTTCCATTGAATGAGTACCTGTTTGGACATTAATTTTATCACAAGTGAACTGTAACCATCTCTTTTACACAAATACTCAGTAAAACTGCGTTTCCAGAGTATAAATTATTTAGAAATGGTATATAATTAAAATTGTAAACATTTGTAGTCACATTGTATAATTTTCTCTGGAAAATCCCTGGGTACTCAAAAGGAATTGTTAGATTCTGCATAACCATTAATGATAGATGAGTAGGCTTTTTATGATAAGGTATTAAGTTGTATCTTTCTCCAGGTTTTTCTTTTTATTATTTCCAATTCATCATGCATAAAATAGTGATGTTGATGTTTGAGCAACTTTATGTTTTGTACTTTTTTTAAGATTTATTTTATTTTCATTGGAAAGTGAGATATACAGAGAGGAGGAGAGAGGGAGAGGAAGATTTTCTCTCTGAGATTCACCCCCAAGTGGCCACAACAGCCACAGCTACGCTGATCCCTTGTCAGGAACCTGGAGCCTCTTCCAGGTCTCTCATGGGGGAGCAGGGTCCTAAGACTTTAGGTGGTCCTTGACTGCTTTTCCAGGCCACAAGCAGGCAGGTGAATGGGAAATGGGGTTGCCAGGATTAGAACTGGCACCCATATGGAATCCCAGCATGTTCAAGGTGAGCATTTTAGCCTCTAGTCTATCACGCCAGACCCTATGGTTTGTACTTTTTACACTAAGCGAAAACATGTATGTAGATATATAACCTTTCTAGACCCAAAGATAGTATTGGTGACACTTTTCAACCATTAGGTCTTTGATGAACTTTCTTTATCCTGAGTGTTACGATTCGTGCTGCTTGAACATGTTCAGTAGTTTGCACTTCCATTTGGAGAAGACAAATGTCCTTCTCTGGCACCTCCTCCCTGGTAGTTATAATGAAGCTAGATGTAGTTGTGTGCTTACACATCACTGAATCAATAGCTTTCTAATGTTATTACATTTTTCCTTGTTCTAAAATGTAGCATTTTGTTAACCTTAATCAGAGCCTGACGTAGGTTTCTTCTAAATGGCGTCTGATGTGGTGTGTCTCTTTAGTCGTCTGTGGTTTCCTGTTTTGTTCATACATAGAGAAAAGAGTTCCGAGATATCAAGCCTCATATTTTTTTTTCTTTTGATGGTACGTTAAACTTTCTTGTAAATACAGCCTGGTAATAATGTAAACCGTTCTCATGATTCATTCCTGCCACTTCCCAGATGCTTTTTCTAGATTTTTCTAGATTCTTCCAGGCTTTCCTGTTTTGTGCATTTCCTTTTTATTCTTTGTATCAGTAGCATTTCCTGATATTCCCCTTCTACATATTTTTTGCATTAAAAATGTTTTTACCGTAACTGTTTGTGTTCCTTATGGACAAAGACTGTTGTGTCTTGTATTTCTGTGTTATATTTTCATAGCACTGCCTTTCCTTAGCCGTTAATTTATCAGTGATTCTCAAAGGGCCTTAGATTGGCAGCAGTTCTAGTCCAGGCTGCTCTACTTCTCATCCAGCTCCCTGCTGATGGCCTGGGAAAGCAGTTGAGGATGGCCCAAAGCCTTGGGACCCTGCACCAGTGCAGGAGACGTGGAAGAAGCTCCTGGCTCCTTGCTTTGGATCAGCTCAGCTCCAGCCTTTTTGGCTGCTTAGGGAGTGAAGCAGTGGATGCAAGATCTTGCTCCCTGTCTCTCCTTCTCTCTTTAAATCTGACTTCCCAATAAAAATAAAAATAAATCAATGATTTCCATTGTTTAGGCATAGACCTTTCTAACCTTCTCTGTATATTCTGAAAGAAATGTTTAACTAAAACATATATGTGATGTTACTCATTTCATAGTGTGGCGGAGTGTAGACGAATCCTGGGAAATGATCAGAGAGTGGGTCAGGAGAGAGACCTTTATTTGGAGTATTTAAGACTCTTCTGAGGCTTTTTTCAGTCATGTGCCTGCATTAACTGTTAAAGGGTTTCACATGTTTTTAATAAAAATAACTGAGCATATTTTGGATAAAATAATGAGATAGCCATTTCAGTTAGCTTTAAAAACTAAGGTTTCTCTTTGCATTAACATGAAAGCCTAAATTGTGCATTGTTCAGTTCTGAGAAAGCATCAGGGTAATAGTTGTAATATTTCGAAGACTTCTGAACTTAGCTTTCGTGAGATAGCAGATAGACGTTGTTATTTTATGCAGTGAGTGAGGATTGCCATCATACGAATCTTGGAACTTTTTGAGAAAATAGGGAGAATTTAACTGTAACTCATAGCTAAACAGCCTTATGTACAAAAATAAAGGTGTTATGATATGTTAAATTTTGATCGTTACTTTAATAGTAATAATTATTTGTGATGTATTTCTAGAGTTATCTTGATAGAAAAATAGTAAGAAAAAGTGGTGATTGTTAGTCCTGTTGATTTCATGTGATCTGAATTATGAACATTCTTCTCAACTATTTATCTTTTAACACAAATGTAATTACACTCCTTTTATGATTGAATTGTTCTGTTTCATTTGCAGGTACATCATAAGTGACACATGACTCAATTACTCATTTTTTTTTCTTTTGCACAGAACTATCGTACCGTGGAAAGTGTTCAGACAGTGCCTTCATGAGGTTCATCAGATTAGCTCTGGCTTGGAAGCAATGGCTTTAAAATCAACAATTGATTTAACTTGCAATGATTATATTTCAGTTTTTGAATTTGACATTTTTACCAGACTGTTTCAGGTGAGTTTCTTTTCCTCACATGTCATGTGTATGTGTGGTGGCTTTGTGTGTACTTCTTTCTCCCTCACTTGCACATACATGCAGATCAGCAGATTGAGAATAGTCTGATTGATAGCATTTAATTTCATTGTTGTCAGATGTTTGGCAGTTGCGATAGGTTTAGGATTCTTTGGTATACATTTAGAGTGTCAACTTCTTGTTTATTGGTTTTATGAGGAATTATGCAAACACGCCGAGTTTTACATTGCTTGTTTCAGCCATTTTGTTTCTTGTTTTGCTTTGTAGATCTTAAAAGATCTAAATAGAGACTGATAACACACAGCATTGAAATTGGTTATTTGCCAGAGATGAATTCCACCTTCACATACCCACTTTCTCATTTGTGCCTTCTGCATTTTGTATGTGAGAAGGAAACTGGCCAACTTGTGCAGTAACATACTGGGGTGTGTACTCTTTTTGCAAATTGGTTGTGTACATTCTACCGTATTTCATAAGCATTTTCTCACGTCAATAAATATTCAGTGGCATGATTTTTCCAATTTTTAGTTTCAGTTATTGCTTCCAATATGAAATTCCTATTCTATAAAAACTATGCCAGATTAATTACACAAAACTCTTTTCGAAAATTTGGATTTTTTTTTTGTTTACTAGCATAAATAACTGAGGTGAATATTTTTGTTCAATGTACTATTCTTTTTTATTTTAAATTTTTATCTTCATAGTTTTATTTATCTGAAAGATAGGTAAATTGAAATAGAAAGAAGGAAACGACGAGAAAAGCAAAGAGTGTTCAGATATTCATGCGTTCTTTTATTCCCCCAAGTACCCACAGCAACTGGATGGCCAGGATATTTCTGTGATCCCCACACTTGATGAGATATCCCATATGAGTAACAAAACCAAGTTACTGAACCAGGGTCAACTTCCTCTTACAGTGCTCATAACCAAAAGGCTGAATGGGAACAAAGCTGAATCTTGAAGCCAGAAATTCTGAGGAATGTCTTTTTTGTTCAGATTAATTCATTCATTTGAAAAGCAGAATTAGAGAGAGTGAGAGCTCTCCCATCTTCTGGTTCACAACCCAAATCCCTGCAATTACAGGAGCCAACACCAGCGTGCAGGAGTTTCTAATGGGTGTCCCATGTGTCGGCAGGGACCCAAATATTTGGGCCATTTTATACCACCTCCAGACTATTAGCAAGCACCTGGATACCAAGTTAAACAGCCTACCAGGCCTCAAACTGGTGCCCATATGGGATTCTGGCTTTGCAAGTGGCAACTGAACTTACTATGCCACAATACCCACCCCTTCAGGGCAGTGTGTTTTTACACTGTTTATCTTACTATTAGCATATGTTTGTTTTCTCTATGAGAGTATTAAGGTTTCTTCAGAAGTAGGTAACCTTATAAGGATGTTGTTATTTTGGGTTTTTGTTTTACGTGATTTAATTAATTGAATGACACTGAATATGGATACTTGAAATTTGTGTTTGGAATCTGCATGTGCAACTAACATATATGGACTTATAGGGTTTTGCTTTCAAATTGCATGATTCTAGTAGTGCAAATTATATAGAAGGTGAGATAAATTGATCAGAAATCAGGGTTACTTATATGCTGACAGTTTTTATTATTTCCATTTCAAGTAAAATTTATTTTCCTTGAAACATGCTTTCAATAGATGTTAGTCTAATGTAGGTTTTTCTGTTTTTCCATAGAATGTGAATTTTACTTCTCCGATTTATGACTTTGCTTGTCGCTTGTCGTTTTGAAATCATGATTCTACCTCGTGTAGAGGATAAGAAAATAGATGTTAGTACAGGAAGTATGCTTATTCTTTTTGTAAATTTATAGTAATTGCATATGATAATTCTCTTGTTGAACATAGATTGTCAGTTGAAGATCAAAGATTTTGAGGTACATTTAAAAAAATTATTGCTTGATAATAATCATTCTATATCAGAAGCCCTCTGTAAGATTTCTCATAAATTTAGAGTACAGACTTCATTTTTTTTAACATGATAGAAGACATTGTAATAGTAAGAGCTTTGTTCCAAAGCCTGTGAATCAGGACTGCAAAAGTAATTTTCATATATTAAAATAACCTGTTCATTTTAGGAAGTATGGATTTTTCTAAGATGCCAGGATGACTATGTAGTATAGGTATTAAAACTAAAATGCCTTTGGGCCCGGCGCGGTGGCGCAAGTGGTTAAAGGTCCTCACCTTGCACGCCGGGATCCCATATGGGCGCCGGTTCTAATCCCGGCAGCCCCGCTTCCCTTCCAGCTCCCTGCCTGTGGCCTGGGAAAGCAGTCGAGGACGGCCCAAAGCTTTGGGACCCTGCACCCGCGTGGGAGACCCGGAAGAGGCTCCTGGCTTCGGATTGGCATAGTATCGGCCCGTTGCGCTCACTTGGGGAGTGAATCATCGGACGGAAGATCTTCCTCTCTGTCTCTCCTCTCTGTATATCCGCCTTTCCAATGAAAAAAAATAATAAAAATAAATCTTTAAAAAAAAAAAAAAAAAACAAACTAAAATGCCTTGGAGTTGCATATTGAAAATATGAAAGTGACTTAATATTGGTTAAATGCTTACCTAAATAGCTGCTTAATATGTGTTTATTTCCATATAAATAGCCCAAGAAATATTAATACTCAGGATTATGCATATCTTGTTTTTGTTGACTATGATGAGAGAAGGGACCTTGAAATAGTGTTCCTATGGAAAGGCTCAGATGATAACACCAAATCATCACATGGCTAAAAGAAGGCCCAGTCATTTTTTTTTTTTAAAGATTTATTTTTATTATTTTTTCATTGGAAAGGCGGATATACAGAGAGGAGAGACAGAGAGGAAGATCTTCCGTCCCATGATTCACTCCCCAAGTGAGCGCAACGGGCCGATGCTATGCCGATCCGAAGCCAGGAGACTCTTCCGGGTCTCCCACACGGGTGCAGGTTCCCAAAGCTTTGGGCCGTCCTCGACTGCTTTCCCAGGCCACAGGCAGGGAGCTGGAAGGGAAGCGGGGCTGCCGGGATTAGAACCAGCGCCCATATGGGATCCCGGGCGTGCAAAGCGAGGACCTTTAACCACTTGCGCCACCGCGCCGGGCCCGGCCCAGTCATTTTTAAAACAGGAAATTCCAGACATTGCTGAAGAAACTTATTTATCTCTATTCTCTATTTTGTTTTTCTGAGATTCATCACTTCCTTTTATTTCTATGCTGATTATTCAGATGCTTGGACCATAATCACACATAATCAGATTGATTCTATGTTTTATACTTTTCATAAATTTGTTAAACTTTAATTTTCTGTATGAAAAAATGTTTAATATTGTAACTTCATAAGTGTATATTCTGCTAAAGCATGATACTGATGACTAATTGGCAGTAAATTCCTCTAATGCTAAATTGTGGGTGGGCGTAGTTTTTATCATATGACTCTGACAGTGGATGTAGTACATTGCATGGAGGAAGAGAACGTCTCATAAAGGTTTGAAGGTGGAATGCAGAGCTTAGATGTGGTGAAACTTGGATGGAGAATCAAAAAGTAGTAAAGTTTCCCTCCTCTCTTACGTTGTCTATTTCCAAGTTCAACAAATGCCAGGTAGTCATTGTAAGGCTGTTGGTATAGTTATATGAACACTTTCTTCATTTCATCTTTGTTATTCTGCTTTTAATCTTTTTATCCTTCCCAGGGACTTGAAAGATGCTAGAATTAGCCTAAAGTCCTAGAAAGCAAACTAAGGATTTTTGCTTTTATTTTTAAATTATTTTTTGTCTGTCTGAACAGCGATTGCTCCCATTTTCCTCAAGTTCTACCACTATTGAAAAAGCGTGAGTTGTCCAGAGGTGGGCCGTATTAGAAGAATACCGAGGGAGTATTTGGAGGAATTTCCTAATGACTGTGGGAAGATGGCGTTGGAAGAATAGGGAAAAAGTAAAATAGGCAGAAAATAATCAGTTATGGAAAATAATTAATGAAAATATCTGGGCAAGCCAGTCCAGGCTCTTATTCCAAGTTAAGCTGTAAGTCACTAATTGTCTCTTGGAAACAGATTTTGAGAGAAGAGACTCATTTCATTTATTAATCTCTGCATTCATTTGAAAATCTCCCAATTTTGTGTTCATGGGTGGAGAAAATAATTCCTTTAAGATGCACGTGATGAGTATAGTTCTTATTCTCTAAAGCACTATGTTTTATCTTCTTCAATTTCATTTGCAAGATACTTTAAAAAGAAAAAAAAACTGCAAAATACCACATTTCTGACTGTTCTGAGGGGGTTGTCCTTGCAAGAAAAACACACAGACTCACTCTGATACATAAATATTTTTGACAATTAGGTGCCAGCTTTCTGGTTTATATACTATGCAGTGGTTGCTTAGTATTATAGCAATTGAGTTTAAACTCCAATTTCTTTTTTTTTAAGATTTATTTATTTTTATTGAAAAGTCAGATATACAGAGGAGGAGAGACAGAGAGCAAGATATTCTGTCCATTGGTTCACTCCCCAGGAGGCCACAACAGCTGGAGCTGAGCCAATCCAAAGCCAGGAGTCTGGAACTTCTTCTGAGTCTCCCAGGCGGGTGCAGGGTCTCAAGGCTTTGAGCCATCCTCGACTGCTTTCCCAGGCCACAAGCAGGGAGCTGGATAGGAAGCGTGGCTGCCGGGACTAGAACTGGTGCCCATATGGGATCCTGGTTTGGGCAAGGAGAGGATTTTAGCCACTAGGCCACTGCACTGGACCCTCCTGTTTCATTTTTTTTATGCTAGTGTTTTAATCTGTGCTTTGGCTCTCTGTTTGCCATGTTCAGCATTTTATTGTTATTGTTGTTGCTTTTAACAACTCTTCTATTAATTTATATGAAAGTGACCCAAATATTTGTTATATGTTCTTTTCATCTCTACCCTTTGTATTAGTAGAAACAACAACAAAAAAATGCAGTGTCTACATTAGCAATTATTTCTTAGTTTTTGGTGTACACTTCCAACTATTTTTTATATAATATTTAGTCATGCCTGAAGAAGAAAATTAAAAACAGAATTTTTTGAGTACATAAAAAGAACGTATGTTAGCTTCCCCAGATTTTCTTTAACCCAAGTAGATGTTTCAGTGTTATGAGAAAATACCCTGATATTTTTTTGTAGCATAAAAAAGGCAAAGTAATAAAATAAAAATAACCTTCTTTATTGCTAAACTATTTTTTTCTCATTATCCTCATCTCAAGAGACGTGACTCTTGAAGAATTCTGAATTGTGCATTTGAAGCTTGCCTAACAATAATGAGGAACAAGTCCCCAAACAAAGACTGAAACTCTTTAGCAATACCCGTGGTGAAGATGAGTATTTCAACACCTTGAACTTCTCAACATAATTTGTTTTTCATTTTTGTACATTTGAGTTAAGAATCTGGCACATCAGACGGAGTGTGCTCCCAATTCCCGGGAGTCAGTGTAGCTTCAAACTGAAAAACCCTGCGCAGAAACTCGGGCCCCTGGGGCTCAGCCGTCCGTCATTGGTGGCCTTTTCCCTTTGCTTCCGTTGCAACTGAGGACAAAGCAAGTTAAAGTGAGACTCGGACTTTGATGTAATCCAAATGTTTCTGAAAGGTTTCTCACATACTCTGTTTTAAAATCCTAAAGAAAGTTTTCCTAATTTCATGATTTCGTAAGGATGAGCCATATGTGAGTACGGTTGCTTTTTCCCGTGGCGTTCAGTGTCTGGAAGAACTTTTCAGACACAGTTCTGTCTCCCTGATTGCTTTATACCTGATGATGTGACAAGGTCCTGGAGCCCTCGGGCTTGTGCAAAACAGGCATATTTTTCTCTTTAGTTATCTTTGGGCTATTGTGCAACCTTTACCCGAGATGAGTAAACTCACTCCTTGTCTGCCTCTCAGTGTGTTTGGGGAGGCTCCTGAGGGTGCAGCACAGTAGATACATGTGGAGGCAAGGAGCGTGACAAGAAGTGACATAGACTGGTTGCAGCATATTGAAGGAATGTCCCTTGGAAAGAGAAATTGCCTGGGTCGTTAGGGAGAGGGAATTCAGACAGAGGCAAAGGCATGGAAACTGGAGGGAGCGTTTGTGTTCAAACCAACAGTAAACAGCTTGGCTGCAGAAAGTGCTCAGAGTTGGAGCCACTAGAACCTAGAGACTAAAAGAGAAAGAGTCAAACCCTAAGCCAAGTGGTGAATTCATTTTTAAAAGAATTACTTCCATTAAAAATAGGTGATTTTCAACAAAAGAGCTAGACGTGTTTCAAAATGATCACAAGTTCTGTGTTGAGAGTAGAATACATACAGAAAAGAATGTGTGGATTTTCTTTTTGCTGTTTTTCCTCGAAAAAAATTTGTTTTCTTCCTGTTTTAGTCCATTTTCCATTGCTATACTGGGAAACCTCAGATTGGATAATTATATTTAAAAGAGGGTTATCTTGGCTATGAAGTGCGAGAGTGTAGCAGAGACATCTGTTGGACTTTACCTCAGGGCCTTTTGCTAGAGCAAAAAGGAGAAGAGGAGAGGTCACTGCTTTGCAACAGCCTTCACTGGGGCCACTTCACAAAGAGAAGCCACTGGCTTCATCACCTCGGAAGGGTTCTAGTCCAGTCCGTAACCAAAATGCCATCTACCTTGCCTGCACTACCAGTATTAAAATATTCATCTTCAACATAAATATCACTAGGGACAAACCATAGCACTGCCTATTCACATTTAAAAAAAAAAAACACTGCTGCATTTGATATCCAAGCTTCAGTAAATTATTAAATGATGTATTGGTATGTAATTGATAGTGGATGTTTTATAGATAATGGGATGTAAATTTTGTATTTTAGCCTTGGGGCTCTATTCTACGGAATTGGAATTTCTTAGCTGTCACACATCCCGGTTACATGGCGTTTCTCACATACGATGAAGTCAAAGCACGGCTACAGAAATACAGCAACAAACCTGGAAGGTAAGACGTTTAAACATTGAGATTATGTGCTGTATCTGAAGATGCAATCCCCTATGATTCATTCCTAAGTAAATCAATTGATGTTACTGATGGGGTGTGTGGAAAAGGCTAAGAATGTTTTTTAATGGAGCACTTTAAATTGATTCACTGTGCTTCTTCTGAAACTTTGTGTTTATAATGCAAAAGAGGGTGTGCTGTTTTGCAGTTTGATAAAGTTAAGAGATACGTTAATGCTCAGTTTTGCTTTTCTTTTTAAGCTTTTATTTTTCCCTCTCCAGTCCCCTCTTCTCCCAGTCTCCCCACCCCAAACTGATTTCTTCTAAGAATTTTGCTTCTTAAAAAGGATTTATGCATGTTGACTATTTTTGTGATATCTATATTTGTATAAAAAATTCCATGTAGTTATTTGAATACTTGTGTATGCTAGTTCAGATAAGGAAAATAGATCAATTTATGTATTTGTTACGTCAGGAAATTTTTGAGACATTCAATTAGAATTGTTGAGAAATATATGTAAGAACATTTTAATTACTATGAACACATACCATTAGATCTATTCATATATGATAAATACATATAAACATGTAAGTATATATCATTCCATTATTACAATCTATACTGGTTTCAGGGCCTTGAAAATGTCTTTGCAAAAACAGAATCTATTTTACAGTTTCACAAAAAAAAAAAAAACTGAGCAACTCATACAGGTGGACTGGTCAGTTCTTACAGTTTTGTTTGAGGATAACAGCATATCTGGGATCAGATGATCTGGGCTGTGGTTCTGATCATTTCCCCCGTGTCCCATCTAGAAATGGGTTAGACACATGGGAGACACCAACAGCAGAGGACCAAGGAGGTGGGAACTGCCAAGTCTGCACAGCGTAGTAGGAGATACAGTTCAATGGCGATTGACTATACTGATTTTTTATTTAGAAATTATTTCACATTAGGGATTAATTTAGTTGTTTTCCTTTTTCAGTTTTTTTTCATTTCTTTTGTACCATATATGGTGTTTACCCTTAACAAAGTTTCTTAGTATAAGTTAGTAGTATTGATTTCTTTGATTTTTATTTAGAAATAGTTTCACTTTATAGATTAATTTAGTTGGTTTTCAGTTTTTTTAAATTTGATTGTAGCATATATTGTATTTACCTTAACAGTTAAAAGTTTTTTAGTATAAGCTAATAGTTTTGATTTCTTTGGCTCTGCCATAATGCAAATTTCCATATTTTTTTTCTTTTTGAGAATTAAAGTACTCTATACAAAGAAGCTAGTGGGTACAAAAATGAATTAGGCCTATTGAAGTCTTCCATTTAGATGTAGTAATTTTTGTTTTCACCAGGACCATGTGAACAGGCCGTATAATTGGTATGCTGACAGTAGTTTAGAAGAACTATTTTGTTGAATTCAAGGATATTTTTCCATGGCTAAAAAATAAAATTAATAGCCTGTACTGATTTGATGTAGATATTTAAAACGTGTTGAGGAAAACTATTATAGTAAACAAATCATTTTAGTAACTATTTATTTTGTAGAATATCTGTTTTTAACTGATCCTTTCTCTTAAGAGTGTTTTTACCTCCTTGTCTTGGTGAAGAAAACAATTGAGTCTGTTGCATGAAAAAAATTTATCATTTAGCTTGTGGAATTCTTTGGGTTTCAGCTAACAACTGGTGAAGTTGCATTTGAAAATCTAAATGAAGTGTCCACCATGTGACTCTTAGCATTAAAGATTGGCCTTGAATCCTAAACCACTCTATTGACATGAAACAGATCCATTTGGATCCTTTTTATTTAATGTTTTTCTTAAAAAATATTTTTATTGGAAAATCAGATTTACAGAGAGGAAAGGCAGAGAGGACGATTTTTCATCCGCTGGTTCACTCCCCAAATGACCACAACAGCCAGAACTGAGTTGATCTGAAGCCAGGAGCCTCCTCCAGGTCTCCCACATGGGTGCAGATCCCAAGGGTTTGGGCCATCCTCAACTGCTTTTCCAGGCCCCAAGCATGGAACTGGATGGGAAGTGGGGCAGTTGGGATATGAGCTGGCACCCATATTGGATCCTGGTGCATGCAAGGCGAGGACATAGCCAGAAGAATATCATGCTGGGCCCTGGAATAAGGTCTTATACTTCCTTGAAAATATCTTTTACAAAGGTTATTTTATCAATATGAAATTATTTGATAAAAACTGTGCAATTTTTTTCAAAAATCTAATTTTCTTGGAATATGAAACCATTTTTTATTACCAAGTAAAATTTACTAAATCTCATGACTCTGTAGCCATTATGCACACTTAATAATCTTTTGAAATTTTCTATACAGTGCTTGATTTGTCAGTTACTAAATAAACAGAAGTACTTAATTTCTGTCAAAAACATACAGCATCTCAGATATAGCCAAGATATTTCAGTTGACTGACTTTTGGTTTGACAAATTGGGTGCAAATCCAGACATAAATGCTGAGAATGCAAGGTTGAAAATAATTAAAGAGAAATGACTCAAAGTGAAATAAACATAAATAAATGAATAAGTGCATTTTAATAATGAATTTAAAGCCAAGTTAAAGTCTCTGTTCCTTGAGGTTGATGTTAAGGAATTTATTTGATTTAGATTTTATACAATTTTTACTTGCCGTGGTAAGATACTGAACTTGGATGGCAACCATAAACTGACCTATCTTGCTTTTTCCTTAATGCAGCTCAGTGGGTTTTTTTTTTTTTTTGAGATTTTTTTTACTTTAAAATTATTGCTGGAATGCCTAAGATAAAAAGTATTACTTTTAATTACTTCAGAATAAATTTCATAATTTTGTTTAAATTATAAGGCAACATATTAAACTTCTCAGAAGGAACAGCTTTACTTTGTCTGAAGCAGATAAATGATTAGATGTCTGCACCTTTCCATTTTTAAAAACGTATTTTCTATATTTTACTTATGTCTTTATGTGAAGAAAATAGTTTTATATACACAATTTTAGCCCATAATGATACTTCCTTCATGAGCACTTCATGCTCCCAGCATGTTCATACCTGGCATCGCTGATTAATGATGATTGCAAATCACTTGATAATTTACAATTTATTTTCTCAGAAATGAAGACATTTAAATGAAAAGATTATTAGTATTACTTGCACAGACTATAAATGGGAATGGAACAATGGTGATAAAAATGTAAAAATTTGTATCAAATTATAAATGATTCTTTTTTTCCCTCCAAACAGCTAAAGGTAAATGAATTGTTTAGGAGTAGACTTAAGTTGAATGTGAATTAACATAATTTTACCTTATTTCACAGCTACATTTTCCGGTTAAGCTGTACACGATTGGGACAGTGGGCCATTGGCTATGTGACTGGGGATGGCAATATCTTACAGACAATACCTCATAACAAGCCCTTATTTCAAGCCCTGATTGATGGCAGCAGGGAAGGATTGTAAGTATGGGAAATGGAAGCAAGGGTGTTTATGATTCATAACTGTAAAAAGGATTGCTTTACTTTAGAATGGGTGGGATGGCTGGTGATCTGGCTGTTGGTGCTTTCTCTCAAGACTAAGAAATGGATGCTCAGTGGTTTTCATTTTTCATTGCTTTGAGTAGCCATCTTAAAGTAAGCTAATTATTTAAATCTAATTATGCTACAGCAGATACATTCCAACATCAAATTATGGCATGATTATTTTATGTATCATAGGAATAGAAGTTTATACATGTATAGGTTTAATGTAAATCGGTTAATATAGTGCAGTAAATTATTGGAAATCGTTGCTTACAGCTCCTTTATATAATCCTTACTTTGCAACTTTGACATTTTATTTAATTTTTAAGTTAATTTAATTTTAACTGGAATGCTGTATTTCGTTTTTCCCCTTTTCCATCTGTTTCCTTCCTATTCTCTTTTTATACCATGTTAAAATTCGTACTAGTAATGAAATTTGTATAAAAGAATGCTGTGTCAAACTAAGCTTGGTTTCTCTCAAGTTGTCCTTTATACAAATTTAAACAGTTCTTCCCTTTGTTTAGATTAATAATGAGTCCCTCATGTCACATACACCCATGATTTGTACAACCTGCTAATCATTTCTTGATAAGTACATGAGATTAACACATTCTGTAACGCCATTCACTGCTTCCATTTCTTGTCAGTGTCAGATCATCATGCTAACTTCTCCTGCCGTTTCCTCTGCTTGGTAACTTACACAACCGGGAACCTATGTTGCTGCAAGATGGACTTTGCTAGAAAACTTAGCTAGAGAAGTCTACTGAGTTAGCAAAAAGCAAATGATTTCCATTTCTTGTTTTACTTAGTGAAAGTGTGGTGGGATGTATATGTAAACATATGAGTACCAGTTCTAGTCCTGGCTGCTACATGTCTGATCCATCTGCCTGCTAATAATCTAGAGAAAATAGTACATGATGGTCCAAGGACTTAGATCCCTACAACCAAACGGGACCCCTGAGTGAAACTCCGGGTTCCTGGCTTTAAATGGGCCAGCTCTGGCTGCTGAAGTCGTTTGAAGAGTGAACCCCCAAGTTGAAGCTCTCTCTCTCCCTCTTTCTCTATAGCTCTAATTTCCAAGTAAATAAATAAAATCTTTTTAAAAAGCTTATAAGGATTTAGCTTTATAATATTTACTTGTAGCAAGTCATGTTATCAGATATGTAGTTACTTTTTTTTTCATTCTCATAAATTCACTATTCATTGTCATTTATACCTAACCTGGAACATCAATGATTCATGGATTGTGGTTTGATGTTCATTATGATTGAGATGTTTAAATCAGATACAAGGAAATGCAGTATAATGTTGTAGTTTGTAAATATATTAGTGGGAAAATCTGTAAGAGTCTTTTCGATTTAGCTCTGTTCTGTTGTTTCATGCCTTCTATCTGTTATTCAAAAGTCACTCATAAGGAAACAGATAACAGTCTCTATAAGAGCAGGTCTTAGGAGCTACCCTGCAGATTTACCTTCCAAGAGCCTTGGACAAAATCCATAGATAAAGATGAAATTATATTTATTGCATTAATTTGAGAGAGTAATTTTCAAGATAAATGCAAACTGAGAATATCATATAATGCTACAGTTGATAGGTCAGTGCATTTTGTTCTCTATAGGAAAGCAATGTCATATGACACAGATGGTAGAGAAGGTTATTTTGATAGCACACAGATTGTTTGCTCCTCCTGTCCTTTATGGGATCAAGGGGTCATCTGCAACAGTTTCTCAGCATACCAAGAAGGGAAATGAGCAAATCCTCCCTAAAATTGCCCTGAATAGAGCCAGTGAACATTCTTTCCATCAACTCTGTTATCATTTCTGAAGTTGTTGTAGCATTTTGAAATTTTTTGATGTGCTATAATGTGATATGAAATTTTTAATTAGTCATTTAGACTATGAGAGTAGTCTCCTATCGCCTTTGCTTGTCTTTAGAGATTTAATGTGTAGAAGTGTGCCAGCCTTTGCCCTTTATCTTAAGACTCTCAAAGTAAGTTTCATTGTCTGATAAACAAATTCCTTTTCTTCAACCTTACCCGTGCATCTCACTGCCCTGTTCCTTCAAATGTAAGAATTGTCCTTTCATTTTTTTTTCTGGTTTTCCTGGGTAAATTCTAGCAACTGCTTGTCAAAATTTGTGCCCTTTGATTTATCAAAAATGTTTTGTAACCTTACAAAATAATTTTTATATACTTTTGTTCTTAACAATATTCACTAATGTAGTATTCTTTGTTTTTCATTCAAGTCATCTAGTGTTGAAAACTATTAAATAGATTAATAATTGATAAAATCCAGCAGTAATACTATTTTAATTGGAAATATTTACATAGTAAATGTAATTTTTTGTTTTTAAAGATTATATATATATAATAATATATATATATATGAGAGACATACACACACAAGGATTTTTCATGCACAGGTTCACTCCCCTGATGCTCACTATAGTCATGGTATGACTTACCTGAGCTGAAAACTCAGAACTAAGTTCAAATTTCCAACGTGAATAGAGGGATCTGAACAGTTGAGCCATTATGTGTTGCTTCCCAGAGTGGTATTAGCAGGAAGCTGAATCATAAGTAGAGGAACTGGTACAGGAACTAGACACTGGGATATGGGATATGACTTTTCTTAACAGCTAGTTTAGGCCAAATGTCTGCCCCATTAAACTTAGTGAATTTCTGAACGAGAATTATGAAATCTGATTTTATTACAAACTTTCCATGTGGTATTAAGCACAGTCCAAAATGATATCGTTAACATTACCTGTGCTTCGTATGAAGGAAGTAAAAGAAATAATTGAAAAAAGGTACATGTTCAAAGTATTTTGGAACAGAAAAAATTGGTGCATGAAGAGAAATTTAAAATTATATAAAGGCCATATATGAAATATATTCTTACTGAAAGTGGGTACTTAGTAATTTAGTTCATATGTATTGTGCACTTACTACTTGAATATTAATTCTATATTTTAAATGTTCTAAAATTAATATGATTACAAGAACCATGAAAGCTTATGTATTGGTATATTATATGAAAAGGAAATATGTGTTATTTCAGCATAAAAAATCTGGTAATATAACTTAAGTGCAATTAAAACATATGTATTTAAGGTAAATAAAGTTTCTCTCTAAATTCAGTTATCTTTATCCTGATGGGAGGAGTTATAATCCTGATTTAACTGGACTATGTGAACCCACACCCCATGATCATATAAAAGTTACACAGGTAAGAGCAAATTCTGGAAAATGTTATTAGTAAGTATTTGCAAAACTTTACAAATACACAATTGTTTTAGTATAATTAAAATTATGGACAGATATTTAATACAAAAGAGACTTAATACAAGACAAAGAAGCCCAAGACTGTTTGAAACAGTGATATTACTTTGTATTAAGATTATCTATCTGCCTCACTACAGTTGCTTGCAATATGGCATTGCTAGATGGATCCATAGTAGAAAGAGATGGTTGGTCATAACTTATATGCAGGTTTCTAGATTTCAGTCCTGTTCTTTTACACATTCTTATGTGAAACAGTTTAAATTACATGTTTAGTTTGTGGGTATATGTTAATTACTTTTAGTTATTTAGTGATTCTGGATGTTCTAATGGACACATTACTACACTTATGAGAAATAATCCATCTTCTTAGAAAGCCATTATTTAAATATAAACTGATTAAGCCTCAGCTTTTTTTTTAATCATTGATAATTTTGCTTTAGAGACCACCACAAGTAGTAATGGTGACCACAGTGCAAGACATCCTTGGCCGGGGGAGTGTTTTTTGTTTTTTTGTGTTTTGGTTTTTTTGCTTTTTTTATTCTGGAATTTCTAAACCTGTTTTTGAAATAATGTTCTGGGAGAGTCATACTTGTTTTTTTTTTTTTTCCTCCCAGTTTGACATCGGATTAGATCAGCATGAAAAATTTACAAAGAAAGATAAACATTTGTATTACTGTTTTAAAGCAGTAATAGTAGTTTGTCTTCTGAATAATGATGACGATTGAACCAAGCACTTCCCAAAAGGAATAGTACAAAGCATTAAGTAGAAATATTTGAAGGCTTATAAAATTGCCCCTAAGTGCTCAGTTCTTCTCAATAGATTCTAATGACCAAATGATGATTATCAAGTTGGAATAGGCCTTAATATACTTCTGATGATATCAAGTGTGAGATTTACTGTAAGTTATTGTACTTTAGAAAAATCAGTATGAACATTTTAGGCTAATAATCTAACAATACCTCTTCTATTTTAAATTACAGGAACAATATGAATTATATTGTGAAATGGGCTCCACTTTTCAACTCTGTAAAATTTGTGCAGAGAATGACAAAGATGTCAAGATTGAGCCATGTGGGCATTTGATGTGTACCTCTTGTCTTACAGCATGGCAGGTATAATTAAGGGGTAATTGGCAACAAGGATGGCTTCTTTGTATTTCCTCTTGGTATTTCTCTCTTCAGTTTTTTTTTTAAATATGTTCTTCAATGATTTGCAAAATAATGTTGATAACTGATTTACCTAAAATGTTCTTTTAAAATCTCATGTCTTATACTTTGATTTTTTTTTGCATATAACTTAATTTTTATGTAATTAGTTGTTCTACTTCAATAGTACTATTGATTTCAAAATGTAATTTAAAATGTTGGCAGAGAACCAATTTAGAATTTACTATAGTACTCTTTCTAGCTATAGTCAGATTATGAGACATAGTCAATTCTGGTAGATAAATCTCATGCTGAAATTTTCTTTTTTTTTTTTTAAGATTTATTTTTATTGGAAAGGCCAGATATACAGAGAGGAGTAGAAACAGAGAGGAAATCTCCCCTCTGCTGGTTCACTCCCCAAGCAGCCGCAGTGGCTGCAGTTGAGCAAATCAGAAGCCAGGAGCTTCTTTCGGGTCTCCCAAATGGGTGTAAGGTCCCAAGATTTGGGGCTGTCCCTGACTACTTTTCCAGGCCACAAGCAGGGAGCTGGATGGGAAGTGGGGCTGCCTGGATTAGAACCAGTGCCCTTATGGGATCCCGGTGCATACAAGGTGAGGACTTTAGCCACTACACTATCGCACTGGGTCCGAAATTTTCAAGTAAGCATATTTTTCTTAGCTAGGTTTGGCTGCTAACTCACATAAAAGTAGGAGTGCTCTGTGGGGAGAGTCACATAGAAAGTGTCGCCCGAATGCTTGCAGTTCCCACCAAAACAGGCATCGAATTTTCTGATTCATAGAAGTGAAATCTAAGAAAAATCTAAAAAAAGTCTTAATGGTGTTTAGACATTTTATTAAATAAATTTCTTTACTAGCCTATTTTAAAAATGCATCCTTCAGTATGCAGTTGATGTGTCTATGCTATTTTTGGATCCTGGTTTGATCTTTCTAGAACCTTGAATCTCTGCGGTAGAAGAGGAAGAAGGGACCTGGGGATGAACAAAAGGATGTGAACAGAGTCAGAGATGCTGAATACAAAATATAATGATTTTTATAACCTTATGGAAAGTGCTTCCATATTTTTAGGGACATTTTAAAATCTGAAGGGAAAACAAAAAATTGGTTGCTTTCTCAAGACATTTTACTTATTCATGTTTGTCACTTGAGTGACATTGTTCAAGTGTTCCTTCTTTCCTTACATACACATTTCATTTACATTTTACTTCAGATTTTTTGATCATTTTTTAAAAAATATTTATTTGTCTTTGTGAAGATGAGTTATGTTAAGAGAAATAAGAGGGAGACCTTATATCTGTTCAGTCTCTAAATGGCTGTAGTGACTGGGCTGTGCCGGGCTGAAGCCAGGGATTTCATACATGTCTCCTATGTAGGTGAAAAGAGCCCAAGCAATGTGGCTGTTCTCCACTGCTTCCCCCGGCACATTAGCACTGAGCTGGATAGGAAGTGGAGCAGCAGGTCATGCTGGTGATAAGGGTTGACAGTATTGAAAGTGGCAGATTTACTCACTATACTGTGCCAGCCCCACTTTTGTTTTTTGTTCGTTCGTTTTATTCTGACTCTTATTTTTACCTCCTTGTGATATTGTGTGAGTTTTTGGCAGTACAGGAGACATTGGAGGAAGAACGATGCTCAATTTGGCATCAGCAAAAATTTTCAGCCTGTGTGTTGTTGATTAATACTTCGGCTATGTCATTAGTGATACTCTTGTGAACTTAGCAAGACCTTTTAAAAAATGGCTTTAAATACATTTAGATATTCTGGTAAAAGACAAAATCATGGTTTTGCGAACAATTTTGAATCTGTCAGTAGAAGATATTATAGAGATGTTGCTGAATCCAGGACAAACATTTGGGAATGACTCTCGTGCCTGGTGGGATAGTGTGGTTCTTTTGGGTGTGAATCACTTAAATCTTGGCATTTCTCCCCAAAGAATGTTAGAATTTTAGGCTGGTTGCAAATTGCTTATGTTCTGCCTCCATACAGCATCTTCTATTTCTGTCAGTTTATTTAAGCTTGTACTCTTGGAGCACAACTATCTACATGTATTGTAAAACTTCTAATCTTTAACTTTGTAGTTTGCTTGGTTATTGGAAACTTCTAATCTTTAACTTTGTAGTTCGCTTGGTTATTGGAAGCTTTAAATAAGTTAACAGAACTTGTGGCAAAACACATTTATTAGTAAAATTTACTTTATAAAATATTTTACATAAGTAGTTTTTGTAGCCTAGGCTGAGAGCATCGCTCAGTGTAAAAGAAAACAAGTTCTGTTTGTTTTACTCTCTGTATACCTTATGTTTAAAGAAAAAAAGAAAAATCAAAGCCAGTACTAAGTTATTTGTCAAGATATGTAACATTTTGCAATAGATTATTTATTTATTTATTTATTTATTTATTTATTTAATTTGGGATTTCCTCCCCCCAGGCTCCCACCCTCCTACAGGTTTTCCTCACATAGCTACAATACTTCATAAGGACTCATAATTCCATTAGTCTCTTATTTAAGTGTACCCAACAACATTGGTGATACAATGTCAGTCTGGCATCCCACTGTCTACACATTTCCAACAGTTTCATTGGGAATAATTCTTTTGTTTGGAAGCAGAAATGCATGTTACATTGTACCCCCACATCTGGATATGATAGACCCCAGTACTCCATAACTGAGAAGCCATGAAACAAGGCTAACAACTGGTATGAATTAGAACAATAGCCATAACAGCAACAACAACAAATTACAGCACCATGGGGGGGAAAAAACATGCCACTGAGTAACCAACACATGAGTGAGAAAAAGGAAACACAAAAGTCTCTTGGGAAACATGATGCCACCGTGCGATTCATTAGCCAGTGATGAAATTCGACAAGAGAAAAATATTTGAAATAAATGAGACTGAAATAAAAAACATCAAAACACATGCGATGCAGCCAGGAAAAAAAATATGGATCAGTTTATTGAAGTTACACTTTCCTTAAATGTTTCCTTATATTAGAGAACATATGGTATTTGCTCTTTTGTGATTGAGCCAAATGGTCCCTTGTTGGGACCACCTAGTTGTAAAAGACATAATTTCATTCTTCTTAATAGCTGAATAATACTCCATGGAGTAGATGTCCCACAGTTTCTTTAACCACTCTTCTTTGGATGCACATCTGGTTTGTTTCCATGTTTTTGCTAGTGTAGATCGTGCTGCTGCAAATATAGGATTGCAGATCCCTTTCTCATATTCAGATTTCATTTCTATTGGGTACATTCATAGGAGTGGGATAGCAGGGTCATATGGCAGATTTATTTGCAATTCTCTAAGCACACTCCATACTGATTTCCACAGTAGTTGCACTAGCATACCCTCCCACCAGTAGTGAAGGAGGGTACCTTTCTCCTCACATCCACACCAGCACATGTTATTTGAGTTCTGAATGTAGGCCTGCCTCGCTGGAGTTAAGTGGTACTTCAACATGGTTTTCATTTGTATCTCCCTGATGGCTAGGGAGCCTGATCTTGTTTTCATATGTCTGTTAACCATTTGAATCTGTTCTTTTGACAAATGTCTGTTCATTTTCTTTGCCCAGTTTTTTACTGTTTTGTTTGGTTTACTATCCTGGGTTTCAGAAGCTCTTTATATATCCTGGATATTAGTCCCCTATCAGTTAGCTTAGTTCTTAGATATTTAAGATTCTCTCCTCTATTTTAAAGGGGACTGTTTTCTTGGAATTGTTTGTGTACACTAGTGCCATTGATTTGTGTTCATTAATTTTGTATCCTGCTACTCTGCAAAGTCTCTTATGAGGTCTAATAGTCTCCTGACTGAGTCTTTTGGTTCTCCTATGTGGAGAATCATATCATCTGCAAATAGAGATAATTTCATTTCCTCTTTCCAATTTGGATTCTTTTAATTCTTTTTTCTTGCCTAGTATCTCTGGCAAGGACTTCCATTATTATATAGAGGAGTAGTGGTGACAGTGGACATCCCTGTCTAGTTCCAGATTTTAGTGGGAAGGCTTGCAATCTTTCCCCATTTAGTTTGACGCTGGCATTGGGTTTTGCGTAAATTGCTTTGATTGTGTTGTACAATGTTCCTGCTATGCCTATCTTGCTTTGGATTTTCAGCATGAAGTGGTGTTGGATTTTATCAAATGCTTTCTATGCATTTATTAAGAGGATCATACAGTTTTTATTTTTCAATTTGTTGATGTGATGTATCACATTTATTGATTTACAAATGTTAAACCACCCCTACATGCCTGGGGTGAATCCCACCTGGTCTGGATGAATGATCTGCCTGTTGTACTGTTGTATCCTGTTGGCTAGTATTTTGTGGAGGATCTTTGCATCTATGTTCATCAAGGATATTGGTCTGTAGTTATCTTTTTCTGTTGTTTCTCCATCTGGTTTTGGTATTAAGGTGATATTGGCTTCATAGAGTTTGGAAGGATTGCCTCTCTTTTGTTTGGAAAAGCTTCTGTAGAATTGGGGTAAGTTCCTCTTGAAACGTTTGGTAGAATTCAGTTGTGAAGCCATCTGGTTCAGGACTTTTCTTTGTTGGCAGGGCTTTGATTACTGATTGAATCTCACTGCATGTTATAGGTCAATCCAAAGTCAGAAATCAGGAGCTTCTTGCAGGTCTCCCACACCAGTGCAGGGTCCCAAAGCTTGGGACCTTCCTCTACTGTATTTCCTGGCCATAAAGAGGGAACTGAATAAGAAGCTGAGCAACTGGTTCAGAAAAAGGAACCCATATGGGATTTTGGTGCTTACAAGGTGAGGATTTAGCCATTGAACTTGTGATGGGCCCAGGGAAAACATTTGATATTTGTGCCACTTGTTTGCAAAGGGGAAACTTTCTTTCTGTTTTGTTTGTTTGTTTTAGTATATGTGATGCTGAAGCAAGCGAGCACAGCTTTTTTTTTATATGAGTCATATTCCATTCTGTGTATATACCACATTTC